CCCAAAACTTTTTAAATGGGTAATGTTAAAGGCCAAGTGTGTTGATTCACTTCTGTAATCCCAGCTACTCAGAAGGCAGAGATCAAGAGGACCGTGATTTGTAGCAAGTCCAAGAAAAGAATTATTGAGACCCCCCATGTCATCCAATAAACCAGGTGTGGTGGGATATGTCTGTATTTCCAACTGTACAGGAGGAGGTTAGCAAGGCCAACCCCAGACAAAAATCTCACACACACACACACACACACACACACACACACACACAAGCACGCACGCACGCGCACAAAACTAGAAAGGGCTGGTGAGGATGGGGTGGGGATTCAAATAGTAGAATCCCTTTCTAGCAAGCTTAAAGCTGAGTTCAATCCTCATGAATGCAAAACAAAATCAACACTAAATAAAAACCAAATTGCAAAACCACAAAATTTAATTTACAACATGAATATGATAGTAATATGTTGCTGAAGTAAAATCCTTGCTTACAGTGTAAATTCGTATAGATTAATGCTTTAAAGAGCTAGGCTGCTAAAGTTTGAATCCTGGCTTTGTTCCTTCCATTCAGTGTGGACAAATGACATAGTTTTTCTGTTTTTATTACTTATAACATGTGAGGTACTATCTTACCAGAACTATTGTGAAGACTAAATGAATTAGTATATGTAGAATGAATAGGAAGCTCCAGACAAGATAATAAATGTTAAATAATTGCTGGAATTATTACTAACTAATGTAGCAAATATTATTTTAAGGTCAGTATTCCTACCACAAATAACATAGAATATCTCACTTAACATTCATATTACCATGAAACCTTGGTGCTGATGAATTGATAAGGAACTGTCACATTATTTGGCATTTGCTGACATGACCGCAGCTTGATTTATTTGAATATCTCTAATGGAAAATGGAAAATAACATGAACATCTTTGCAACAAGAAATATAATTAACACATAGGCTGGATGGAATATGTAAGTGAGCATTCTTACTATAATTCTTTCACTAGGAGTTAACTAGCAATATAAGTCACTGAGAATTCATTATGAAGTTCCTCACCGTTGGCATATCTACCAAGAAAACCAAAGTATAAACAGAAGTGAAAAATTGCATCTGATACCAAAGTCCATCAGCTGGAGAGTACTGCATTTACTTCTATACTATAGGTAGTTGGATTTATCCTTTTAAAGGTCAATATTGGAAAATGAATAGAAATCTGAAAAGGATATGGCTTTTAGGTGGAAGAGATAATGAGCACAGGTATGAAAGATAAAAATATGTTCTAGGTACCAGTGTCAGTGAGCTCTGTGACTGGGCCAAAGCATAGGATATATGAAAGGGTGTAAACTGAGGTGAGTTAGGACTTTGCAGGAGAAATCAAGTATGTGAGATCGCATTTCCTAGATCCCCTGTATCACTTTTGTGTCTTGAGCAGTAAAATGGTACTAATAGAATTATACTATAGGAAGATGGATCTGAAGGGTTGTTACAGGTAGAGACATAGGAAAGTGAGCCAGAGAGAAGGCAATCTAATCTAATTGAATGAAGAATGTCCACAGTCTAACATAGAGGCCACAGGAAAGGAAGTAACCTATGAAAGATGTCATGTTAGTCTATAGGATTGACAAATATATGTAAAGGTTAACCATACAGAGAGTATAGAAATGTTATCAAGATTTTTGTCAGAAGGAATGGTAGCGGCAATAAGAAGGAAGTCAGGATATTCTGGTTTGTGGGTAGCTGTGAAGATGTTTTGAAAGTATTGAATTGCATCAAACAATATCCAAGTATGATCACCCAGCAGGATTGGTATATTTCTAACTATTAGAGTTAGGAGCTGTCTTAAAATTTATTATTTTTCTTTTTTGTGGTCCTGGCGCTTTAACTCAGGTCCTGGGCACTGTCCTTTAGCCTCTCTGTGCTCAAGGGTAGCACTCTATCACTTGAGCCACAGCGCCACTTCCGGCTTTTTCTGTTTATGTGGTACTGAGGAATTGAATCTAGGCAAGCACTCTACCACTAAGCCACATTCCCAGCCCCTTACAGATTATTCTTAAAGTTAAATCACTGTGGGAGAGAAAGGAAGATGATAGACTGTAATGAAATATACTTATTTATCTGTGAAGGAAAGAGGAGAGGAATCTTCATTTAAGAAGTGAGAGAGTCATTATCTTGCCCATGTAATTGTAACCCCTCTGTACAGTATTTTCACACACACACAAAAAAGAAGTAAGAGAGTAAGAAGAGAAATGTTCATAACCTAAACCAGAAAATTGCAAAATGGAGGAGCTAGTATGAAAGTTAGAAAAGGGCTATGAGAATTGGCCATGAGAAGTCACTAGCCTTTAGGAGAGCTTGCTCTTCTCTTACATTGTGTATACTAGGAGTTAAAGAATGAATGGATGCTGTGGTAGTAGAGGCAATGACCATTTTTCAACAGTTGGTTTTTTGTTTGTTTTCGGTCATGGGGCTTGAACTCTGGGCCTAGGTCTGTCCCTGAGCTCTTCAGCTTAAGACTAGTGCTCTACCATTTGAGCCACAGCACCACTTCTGGTTTTCTGGTGATGGATGAATTGGAGATAAGAGTCTCTCAGACTTCCCTGCTGGGGCTGGCTTTGAACCACGATCCTTAGATCTCAGCCTCCTGAGTAGCTAGGAATATAGGTGTGAGCTACTGGCACTTAACTTTTCAGCAGTTTTAAGTGAAGGAAATATGGGATGTGTAAGGGTATTCCAGGAAATATTTGTGTTGTTTTCTTCTTTCTTGTTTGTGTCACTCCTGGGACTTGAACTCTGTGCCTGAGCTCTGTCCCTGGCCTTTTTGCTTAAAGCTAGCATTCTACCACTTGAGCCACAGCTCCATTTCTGGCTTTTTTGGCAGTTCAGATGAGATAAGAGTTTCACAGACTTTCCTGCCCAGGCTGGCTTCTAACCTCAAACCTCAGATCTTAGCTTCCTAGTAGCTAGGATTACAGACATGCCCTAGCTCATGTTGTGGTGTTTTTGCTTGTTGTTGTTTTTGTTTTGCTTTTTAATAAAATAAACTTCATGATTTTAGTTGAGGAGTGGCAAAAAAATAACAAGGCATCAAGAGGAGCTAATGCTGTGTGGGTTCTGTAAGGAGGCTGGAAGGACTACAACCTGGAGTATCAGTGCCTTTAGCTTTAATAAAGGGAAGAGTAGTAAGATATTAATAAGTGTTGAGGAGAAAAGGAAAAAGGGGAGAGAATGTTAGATGTTTTCAATATTCTCACAAAAGTTAGAAAACAAAATCTGTTGAGAGGAGGTAGAGAATTGGGATGGGGTTTGATGAGGCAGAAAGCATCAACTATTTATTTGTGAGTTTGCTTGATTAGTAAGATGGTTTTAAGGATAAGTTGTAGTCAGCTAACCTGGGTCTACGGTGGAGAGTGTGACTGTGTCTTTCTCCAGGAATATCCAACTCAATGATGGCAAGAAAGGTAGATGCATTATGTTGCCTGAGACTGGAAAAATGGCAGAAGATCATGGGGACAAGGGATTCTAATGATTTACCAAGTGCTTTGTTGAAATTACAACCGGAACTTCTAGATGGGTAAGGATGCCAGTAAAGTGTGAAAAAAGATGAGGCTAATGAGGAAATCAGTAGAGGAATAGGACTAATAAAGAGTATGAAAATAGAAATATAGTCAGGTTTTTGTGATGTTGAGCTAAACCATGTCTAATGTTAAAGTCTGAGTTTATGTCAGTCATTTGGTAACCTAAAGTGGAATGGAGCTGAAACTTGGAAATATTGTATAAGACAAAAGCATTTGAAGAAGATGGAGTAGCAGGAGCATTATGAACCTTGGAGAAAGATGTGACAGGAAGATGAGATGATTAGAAAAGTGAATGGCTTGAGCAGAGGAAAGATAATTGGTGAATTGAGGTGAAGGAACAGTGAAATCTAAGAGATACTTCCATTATATGAAAACTCTAAGCCCAGCTCCAAAACTCACTAGTCTCACTAAACTTCAGTTTTCATCAGGGAGCACATAAAAAAATACTGTGTACCTCATAAGGTTATTGTGAAAATTAAATTGGATATTGTATGTAAAATAAAGTACCTATCAAAAGTAAATCTGGCTGGTATCAGTGGCTCACACCTGTAATCCTAGCTACTCAGGAGGCTGAGATCTAAGGATTGTGGTGATTCACAGCCAGCCCAGGCAGAAAATGCATGAGACTCTTATCTCCAATTAACCACCAGAAAACTGGAAGTGGCACTGTGGTTCGAAGTGGCGGAGAGCTAGGCTTGAGCAAAATTTCTCAGGGACAGAGCCCAGGCCCTGAATGCAAACTCTATGTCCAGAAAAAAAAAGAAAATATATTAAATATTCTTGCTATTAATGATGATAGGAACATGTATAAAAGCACAAAGTTGGCTGTGTGTTTGACTTGCAGTGTAGCATAGATGCCACTTGTGGCCAAAGTCAAAAAGTAATAATACCTGTGTTCCTTCCCATCTGTCACCTTTAAGTGGTAGGAATAACTTCAGTAATACACTGAAATGGTCCTTTGTATCATCACAGTGTATAGGTTTTAGTAATCTGAAGTGGATTGGAATATCCACAGAATCAAGGGATATAGTTTATAATAGAACAAGCCTTACAGAATGCACTAATAAAATATAGATTTACACCCTATTAAAATAAATTGGAGGAGAGTTTCATAGAATTGTTTCCAAGGTTGGGATTAGGAAAGATAGTATGATAACCTGGAAGATCATATTAGAAAAGACAAGCAAAAAACACTGTATTTTTAACCTAGATTCTCTTCAAATGGCCCATTGAACCTCAGTTCTGGAAAAGAAGCTGCAAATGAAAAGTAACACTTTAGTTCTAGGTGACTGCCCATACTTCTAGCCCTTGGAATTTTCCCTGAAACAGATTTTTTTTTAAATTTAGATTTGGCCACATGAAAGTAAATTTGACTTATGCATTTAGCTTTTGCCTCCCTTATTACTCTTTCTTGCTATTTTTGACAGGTAAATGGCCAAGACCTAAAGAACCTACTGCACCAGGATGCTGTGGACCTCTTTCGTAATGCAGGCTATGCTGTGTCCCTGAGAGTACAGCACCGGGTAAGGACCACTTGTATCAGATATTTGGCTTTTTGCACTGTTCTTGTGAATAAATGTGTGTATTTAATCTTGTTCCGTTGCTTTTTTTTGGGGGGGGGTTCGGTCGTGGGGCCTGAACTCTGGACCTGGGCGCTGTCCTTCAGCTCTTCAGCTCAAGGCTAGCACTCTACCACTTGAGCCACAGCGCCACTTCCGGCTTTTTTTTTTCTTTTTGCTTATGTGGTGCTGAGGAATCGAACCCAGGGCCTCAGGCATGCAAGGCAAGCGCTCTACCACTGAGCCACTTCCCAGCCCCTGTTCCATTGCTTATTATCACTACTTTAAGGAGCTTGTCTAGCACAGCAGGGATCCTCTGGTAATTTTGCTTATCATGAAAAAATTTTAAAACACAATGTTTGTTATTCAGGTTCTGCCTTCAAGGTAATAAAGCTTCATAATCAAATTAAAATAGATGAAGGAAAAATTGAATCACTTTCACTTTTTGTGGGGAAAAGAACTGTATACCTGCTCTGGAAGTGCATATATTAAATATATATTATAAGGGATATCTGTCTGTCTGACCTATCTGTATATAATGGGGACTTTTCCTATCACTGCCATGGACTCTATTTGGTTTGACCAAAACTCTAGAAAAAAGGAAATGGAATGGAGAATTGAGCCAAAACCACATCTATGCTTGCATTTTGATTCCTATTTCCTAGTGTTTTATACTTTGGATAATGGAAACGAAGCCTGAATAGATAAGATTTATCTCATAACACTAAAGTTCAGTGTGCCTGCTGCTTCTTATATCAATATATGCTGTCTCACTTAGTGGCTAGGTCAGGATTCAGAAGCTGAAAAGATTAAGAGGACCTAGAAAAAAAGTACAAAAGGCTTAGGCTTGTAATTCCATCTACTTGGTAGGTAGAGAAGAGGAAGATCATGATTTGAGACCAGCCTAGGGCCAGAAAGTTCACCAGATCCTATCTGAGCCAATAAAAACTAGATATGGTGGCAAGCAGCTGTCATCTTCACTAATGCCAGAAGTATATATAGGTGGAAAACAGTCCAGGTCAGTCAGGGCATATATTTGAGAACCTATTTGAAAAATTATGGAAGCAAGAAGGGAAGAAAATCAGTTTGATGGTGAAGCATTTAACCTAGGGGAAGATAACTCAAGTGATAGAGTTCCTGTCTAGGAAGCACAAGGTTCTAAGTTCAAAACCTAGGTCTCCAAGAGCCTTGGCTCTTCTCTGTATCTAAAACATGGGAGGATAAGGCAAGATAAGGCAAGTAAATTATATATGATCTGAATTCTCTTTTTCCTTTTTTCTGTTTTGGTACTGGTCCTGGGGCTTGAACTCAGGGCCTGGGCACTGACATGACCGACAAAAAGAAAAAAAGAACATTGTTTAAAAAGGAACTCTTACTGACTGCTGGTGGGAATGTAAATTGGTTCAGCTACTATGGGGATTTTTCAAGAAATTAAAAACAACTTCCAAATGAGCTAGCTGTACCCCTTCTAAGTATATATTACAGAGATACCTATATACCCATGCTTATTGCAGCATTATTTACAGTAGTCAAATTTTGGAATTGGCCTAAGAGCACATCAACAGATGAATGGATAAATAAAACATGGTCTACTACATAGTGGAGTTTTAATTAGCTATTTAAGAAGAATGAAATTATATTGAATACTGGAAAACAGAATTGGTTATCATTTGGTTAAGTGAAAAATACCAGTCCTGAAAGACAAATATCATATGTTTTCTCTTATTTGTGGAAGCTAGAGGAAAAACAAAGTGAAACAAAACAGAATCTTAACGTCATGACTACTAAGAGAAGCAGGAAAGGACATGAAAGGGGGAGAGAAAGGGGACAATAAAGAGCCATGGAGGGGGTGGATATAATTAAAATACAACGTGTACATGTATGGAAATACCATGATAAGGCTCTTTGAACACTTTATGGTAATAAAAGACAAAAAAGGAGCCAGTCTGGAAAAAAATAAAAATGAAGAAAGTCGATCTAACCTAAAAAGGTTAATGAATAGAATTATAATGCTAAGGTATAGTTTATTTTTACTTATTTACTTCTGAGTCTTCAACCTCTGTTCCATACAGGTTCCACCTTTATATTTCTCTAGTATTACAAATTAAAGCATGAAGGACAAGAACTCATCTTAGGAGGGAGAGATACCTTCATTGCTACCTTCACCTTTCAAAATTGAAAATGACTGATTTCTACCTGGAACCTTGCTATTTAAAACCTCCAAATGTTTAAATTCTAATGGGAGAGTAAAGATATTTGAAGGATATCTGGACATAAGCTAAGACTTGCTTAGAACAAATGAGGAATTATATATTTTACTAGGGCTGCCAAATAATGACATAGCACCTGTTTTGACATTGTCTGGGTCTGCTTACTGCATTGGAATGACTGATAGTCTTTGCAAGTAAACATTCTAGAAAGATTTCCTACTGTCCTTTTCCCTAATCCAGTTTTCGTTTTCCTATAGGAAACACATCTAGAGATGGAGGCAGCATAGAAACAAATGTTCTCATGTACCCTCCAGGCTACCATTAGGTCAATAGCACAGCAAATTTAAATGCTTCCTCATCACACTTACTTTCTTCCCAAGAATCTGTGATAAAGGTATACATCAGCTGAGGACAGAGAACTCCTGCTAGGAAGTGCTTGGGGTTCACAGTGAGCTCAGGTGGTCTATAACCAGCTGCCCCAGGTGATATGTCAACTTGGACATTTCAGTCAGTCATTAGAGTTAACATTTGTCCTTCCTTTCCAGTTACAGGTGCAGAATGGACCTATAGGACATCGAGGTGAAGGGGAGCCAAATAGTATTCCTGTAGCTGTGATGCTGTTGCCAGTGTTTGCTCTCACTATGCTAGCAGCCTGGGCCTTCATGAAATACCGACAACAGCTTTGAAAGACTTGCTTCCTGCCAGTGCTCCCAGTGAACTTATGCTTCTCTTACCCTCCTTCCCTGCTGTTCTTCCATATCTTTCCCCCTTCTCTGCATAACCAACACATGATTGAAAGTGACTTGATTCCTACCTAGAACCTTGATGTTCAAATCTCCAAATGTTTATATTCTGATGGGAGAGTAAAGATATTCTTTGAAGGAAAGCTGAACATAAGCTAAGACTTGTTTAGAACAAATGAGGAATTACATATTTTAATAGGACTGCCAATAAAAATTCAGCTACTATCCAAAGAGGGAACAATCCCGTCTTCCTGCCACCGTGGATTACACAGTTTTTCTTAACTGGCATAGAAGGCCAGATTATTACATGAGAGGAAGAGGATTTTTTACTTAATGATCTTCCTTGGGAAGTGTTTGTAGCCTTTATTAATACTTTCTAACTACGTTCTTGAGTGCCTATATTGGACACAGGAGAATAAGAAGAGCTTTTTACTTTTTAAAAAAGCAAATGACAAAGTATACATACACACATTTGTATGTGATAGTATAATATTGATGCCTTATGGAGAATTAAAGAGGTGAGGAAACTGCTTTGGTTTCTGATCTAAAAGGTGATCCTAACTGAAGAACTTTTAAAGATCTGTTTTGTAGAGCATACACAGTGGGAATGAGGGAGCTTTTAAGAGGGTGCTCAAGAGTCAGAAAGGTAATTAGCAGAACATTTTTTTCATAATACCTATGATGATATTGAGGTAAATTATAAAGTAGCTCTGTTCAAGTTGATTATTCAAAAAACTTTGAGCTATTCAGATAAATTTTGTCAAGCTCTGTGCTACCTGATGGCTTTTGTGGTGCCTCATTGTGACAGGATGCCCTAGTGCTGAGACGGCTGTGGCCAGGGCTGAAGTAATGGGGTCAAACCAAACCAGCAGACAACAGAAGAAAAGACTGAGCCTCAGGTGGCATCTGAATCCCTGTAGGCTTCTGACCATTCTCTGATTTCGAGCAGGATAGAGAAGAAATCAGCTCTGCTTCTCAGTTAAGCTGAAACGGCCTGGATTACTATTTTTTCCAAGGCTCTAAATACTAGTTATGGTTTTTATTACTTAGTGAATAAACTTGTTTTTCTCAGAGGAAGGAAGGAAATGAGTTTTGTTTTAGGGAAGGGGGATTTGTTGGGTGTTTTCTGGGGAGGTCTGGGAAGGAGAATGCATGTGAATGGACTTTAGGAGATCCAGGGATGCTGGTGAGGTAGGAACCATCCTGTTCTTGTACTTAAGTTTGAAGCACTGAGGATAGTTGAACCAAGACTAATTTTCTGGGCTTAAGAAAATCCTTTCTATCCTCAAAATAACTCAACCTAATATTGTCTAGACTATGCCTGAGGCAATCAGTTAGATCAATTTTAGCATAGACAATCTAGCTGTTATTTAATAAATACTGATTGGACATGGGATTTGTCAAGACACTTTTGCAAACCTTCATCCCAAAAGTATATTTTGTTCCAGTTGGGAGGAAACACTTTACATTGAATTGGCCAATAAATAGGACATTGTAAGTCGGTGTCAAGTTTATATTACAGACAGCAAAAGAGAAATTGGGGCACTTCCGTGGCAGAAGTATACAATGAAAAACAGGAGGTTGTAGTCAAGAGAATTCATAAAGTAAGTGAAAGTATATCATCAGGGTAAGTAATAATTAAAAATAGTATAAATGGTACCATGCAGAATACAATGCAGCAACAAGAAGATAGATGATCACCACCACAGTTTTTTAATTTAGAAAATAAAAACTATCACATAAGAGCATTGTTATAAGAGAAAAATGTTACCTCTGAGTCGACCGTTAGATAGGGAGAAACTTTTATAAACAACCATGACACATTACCTTATGCGTTTCAACCTGAACTGGACAGTGGGTTTCTTGAGACTTGTTTAGATAGCAACTCATTGTAAAAATACCAACAGTATTCCAGTTCTTGTTTCAGCCAGCTCCATTGAAGGCTCAATCTTTGGTATGCTCCTTATATCTGATGGCATATGCAGCAGTTTCTGCCTTAAACCTGCTTACCTCCCAGGTTTGGACATTAAATTTTAAAAGACCTTGAGATATACAAAGCAAAGCAAATGACAAGCAGGAGGGAAAGCTATTTCCTCTTTTGTTTAGTCATATATGTAATCTGGAAAACACCTGTCTCATCATCGATAGAAACTTAGCTTTGGTTAATAATGGGGATTCTGATGCACTTAAATAATTTAGGTTTTCTTGAAAATTAAATCGCATTTAAAGACCAATATATTGAAGTTTTAGGCACATTGAAGTGTTATGTACCTTCTTTTGATTCTGTGGAAAACTAAAATTACAGATGAGGTATCTGAATCCATTACAGGTTGTAAAAGAATTCCTGTTCTTTATAGTTTGAATCTGCTATTTGTACTACTTTATAGATTATATATAATGTTCCTACCACCTAAATTATAATGTTGAGTTTTGAAAATTGAATGTAGGTATTTTAAGATCCTATACTTAATACACTTCTTATATTTATCATTATGTATTATATATAATTCTAATAAAATATTGTTTGCTTAAGTCATGTATTTATTTTTTGCCAAGTTTTAACATCCATGTGAATGATTTAATGTGATTATTTGGACTGTTTAGCCATTCATAATTGGAAAAGAGAGTCAATATTACATTCTGTGTAAGGCACTGTATGAAACTTCAATTGATAGTATAGTATAGTATGTGTTCATGTTTCATAGCTGTGAGCATTGCTATAAATCTAAGTATTGCTATTAAAAAAAGGACTAAAGATGAGAGGATAAATTTTAGACAGGTAATAATGATGGAATTGGGATTTTGAACTCTGGACTTAAGGTGTCAATATCAGTAATATTCCCTTGTACTAGTGGTTCACCAAGCAAGGTCTCTGGCAAAATTGCAGAATTAACTGGAAATTTGTTACATAAGTAAATTCTTGGACTTTGTCCCAGACCTACTAGTGAGAAACAGAGTAGCAGCCAGTTTTAATAAGCCTACCAAGTTCCTGGGTCACAGTAAAGTCTGAGGTTCACCACCTGGTGTTCGTAGTTGTCTTCTCAGCTTAGAGTTGCCTGTAGAGCTTGTAAACAACATGTACCTCAGGCCAAACTAAATAGGAATCTCTGGAGCTGGGACTCAGGCAGCAACAGTGATTACAGTGTGAAACATCAGTTGGAAATACTCTGATATTTATGCATGTGTGCTGTTTATTGAATTACATGCCGACATTGTTACAGCAAAATCAAGAACTTCACTTGGGCATTATCAGAGCCCAGCTGTTGGAGCTTCTGCCCAACGTATGATGTAGAATAAGAAATGGAACATTCTTTCACTCCGAATGTGGTGGGGACAAGCCAGCCAACCTCTATCAAGATGTATGCTAAAGCTGGGCGCCAGTGGCTCACTCCTGTAATCCTAGCTACTCAGGAGATCTAGGAACATGGCTCAAAGCCAAACTGAAATTCTTGTCTCTAATAAACAAAAAAGTCAGAAGTGGTGCAGTGGCTCAAATTGGGAAGAATGCTCACATAGAGCAAAAGAAGCTCAGGAACAACACCAGGCCCAGAGTTGGACAGGCCAAAAGAAAAAAAAAGATAAAAAATGTATGCTAAGTATGAGTATATTAAAACTTTATGAGTGCTTCAGACAGAACTGGAGTCATTTCTGGAAAGGCAAGAAACCCAATGCTGATGAGAAATCCTGTCTTCATTTTTATTCTCTTTTGAGAATTATACCATTATAAAATATACTTTGTTCTGCTTTAACAGAAGGAGGATCCAAAGCCTATAGTCATGATGTAAGTCATGTGGATACTGCATGGAAAGTGGAGGTGGTGGTGAAAGCCAGTGCCACAAAACTTACACAGCTCACAATTCCCTTGTAAATCCTATAGCTCCATAAAGTTCCATCTCTGCCCAGAGATAATTTTTAGATGTATGTTAATCCAAAATGAAGCATAAATACCAGCAATAAACAAGATCCTGATATAAAGTATAGCAGCCCTGTTTATAAATCCATTCCTTCAATCCTAAGTGCCAGCTTCAGCGTCCCATAAATCCATATTTTTGTATACCTGTAACTGTAGTTAGACTTAATCTCTCAGGTTTAGACTTCTGACTTTTCTGCTGCTGAAGTTAGGGAAGGGATATCAAACAGTCTTACTTCATTTTTAATTTATAAATATACAGGGTGACTCATTTAGTATACACATGTTTGGAGAATTGGTCTACCACAGGTAAGGTAGCTGATGAGGGCTTTCTAGTATACAGTAGTTTGAAGACCACAGCACAACCTGATAGATGCAAAGGCAAGTTTGTCACAAGCTTTAATACTGCCACTGTCTCATGAAGGGCAACAGCAGAAAGGTGAGGCCCTTCCGAAAACCTGGGAAGATCTCTGGAGAATTCTAGACAGGACAGATCCAGGACAGGCGTATTGGCCAGCCTGAGGTCACTGTGACTTCTTAACCACAGGTGTTACAAATAGTCACAAGCCATGCCTGCCACCAGAACCACAGCAATTACTAGAGTCAGGCTTACCATCAAGAGATCCCACTGAGAGCCTTGGATCACCCAAACCCAATTAGGAAGGAGATTCTGTAAACAACCCATGACCTCTGGTAACCAATGTTACACAAACACTTTGCTCTACTAACAGAGCATGTGACACCTTGAAACTACACAATAGCAACCATCCCAGGATACTTGGTTTCTACACAAGGCTAAAGAAAGGAAACTCCTGTGGCCGCAGCTGCAGGGAACGCCTGACTGGGGGAACACACAATCTATCACGCCGGTCAGCCACCACATGCAGAACATAGATTCCAGCCCACGACGACGGGCCCACCTGACTGAAACCAGGGGCCAGTAGTAACAGTCCCGGGCCCACCCCATGGTCGGCCACTGCGGCGCAGGCCACACTCCTGATCAGCCTGCTGTTGGGCAGGTCCTTCCTAGGGCTGAAGGACACGGTCACTTCCACGACATTGCCCCCGAGGACGCCCCGGTCACAGAACAGGCGCGGGGGCCTATTTAGTCACGGTTGGAGCACGAGGTCTGTGCCATTGTCCAGGTGTCTGCAACGAGGGAAAAGGTTGCAGTCGGTGTTGCGGGGGCAGGTTCGGCCATCTGGGCAGATACTGAAAGGGTCCCCGCTGCCCCCCACGCTGGGATCGGACAGCCAGATGCTGCGGGAGTGGGGAGGGACATGTGCAGCCGCAGGTGTTGCTGTCGCCCCGTTGTTGCAGGTGGAGATGTAGCAACTAGAATCACTACGACGAGTGGCAGTTCTTGTCCTTCGGGCCATCCTTGCTCGTGCAGGAAAAGCCACAGTTGTGGCAGCGGGGCAGAGGGCAGGAAGAAGGTTGCTGGCCCTGCAGTGACAGTGATAGAGGACAGCAGGGACACTGGTCAGGGCATCCCTAGAAGCTCAGGAGCATCCACTTGGTCCCGGCCCACTCTCCAGCCCCGGTGCACAGCTCTCCCGCTCGGCCCACTTGCCCACTGGTAGAGGATGCCTTAAGGCTGGGGGGTGGGAATGGGGGTGGAGCGGGTCTGCAAGGAGACCACAGGTTCGTGGGAGAAGACTTGGGCTGTTTCCAGGGAAAAGCCCTATACCTGAGTCAACTGGAGTGAACAGTTTAGGCGACACAAGAGAATCTGAATAAAAGTCTGGCAGTAGAAGTCTTCTGGAAGATTGACAAGAATCTTGTTTGTTTTCTTATTTTCTTTCAACTTAACCCTATACTCCTAAAGACGTGTCATTGGAATAGTCTCGCGGTCTGGAGACTTCTCCTTCCCCCCCACCCCGAAGACTACTTAGTGGCTTTTTCTTTCTGCCAGTCCTGGGATTTGAACTCAGAGCCTGGGCACTGTCCTCGAGTTTCTTTTGCTCAAAGCGAAGGAGCATATATGTGTGTGTGTGTGTGTGTGTGTGTGTGTGTGTGTGTAAAAACAATAGCCAGAAACATTTTAGGGGCATTGGAGAGGCAGGGCGGGTGGAAAGATTCAGGGATAGCACCGGAGATGTCACTGTTTGACACCCGACAAAGCTTTCTCTGACTCCTTCCAGCAAGTGACAGAGAAGCTATACGGTACTGCGCAGGTTTGACTGCGTTTCCACCAGAATGCCAGCTTATTTCAGGCAGGGTTTTCCGTCTTTTCATCTCTGGGCTCCTAGAGTTTTCTGCATGATTGTTCATAAATGATAAGATCTCAAGATGCCTCACAATAAAGCACTGGTACTAATTGTTTAGTGATAATTAGTAAGATACTCCTGATTATATTCAACCTACTTTCTAGCGATTTACTTTAAAAAGCTTTTTATGAAACTTACACTAAATTCCCAATCCCAAGTGAGACAGGTAGAGAACTAGTTTTAAAACCATTTCTTCCCTTAGCTGGCTCAAGGAGTGTTTTAAAGCAGACGTTAGTCAAGACTCAGAGCCTGTCAAGTACTGGCTTCCAATCAATTAGGGAGTTGAGCCGCATTTTCCCATCCCTAAATCCCAACGTCACCTAGGACAGTTCGGAACTAAAGCATAGACTCCTAATTTCCGGGCGGACGCTGCAGTGTGTTACGACGCATCGATTGCTTTTGTCTGGCGGAGGACTATCAGGGAGGGACCCGGGACCAACTTGGTCGGGAACGGTGAGCCGGCAGCTTGTGTGTTTGAAGGGGAGCCGAGGTCCGAGGCCCTGCTGGCCGACAGTAGGGGTCAGCCATGGTTGCAGCGTCGGTGATGCGTACTTTGCGCAGGAACAGGACTCTGCGCTACGGAGTCCCCATGCTGGTGAGTGGCGTGAGGAGACCGCCGTGGCCGGGGGGAGCGGAGCTCTGCGGGCCCGGCCCGGCCGCCAGGGCCTCGGCCCGGCCGCGACCGACCGGACAGCCCGGCCCCGACCGCCTCGGCGCCGCCCGGCCCTGACTCCCTGCCCCTGTCCCTGTCCCGACCGCCGCGCCCTGATGTGGCCTGGTCTTGACTGCCCGGTCTCTGGAGAAGACGCTGAGGCCCGGGACCCGGGGCCAGGAAGGGGCTGCGCCACCGGTTGAGAACTTGTAGGTAATCTTCTAATTAGGTCCAGGATAGGACCTAGAGTCACTTTCGCCCGCCTCCCCTTCTGTGATGTGTGTGGTCTCAAACACGGTTTTGGTCCTAGTACTTTTACAACTAAGGAAACATCATCTCAGAGAGCGATGTCCGCAAGAGTTTAACCCAGGCTGGATGATTACCAAATTCTCTTCCAGAGTTTTATGATGAACCAAAATAACACCTGAGGAATGAGTTTACAGTTCTCCAAAACCAGACATGGCCAGGCTGGGAATGTGTGCTTGCCTAGCATGCAGGAAGCCCTCGGTTGATTCTAAAGTACCAGGTAAATAGAAAAAGCCGGAAGTGGCTCTGTGACTCAAGTGGTAAGTGCTAGCCTCGAACAAAAAGAATCTCAGGGACGATGTCCAGGCCCTGAGTTCAAGCCTCCGGACTGGCAAAAACAACAACCACAACCACAACAAAAGGCAGCCAGAACAAAAATGAAACTAAACACAAGATCCTCTATATAGAGGAATCGTTCCTTGTGCATGAGCCTTTGTCCCCAACAAGGGACCAAGAATTCTGGCTACCAGAAACTCCCCTGTAAGAGGAAGGAGTATTTAGTTAGCACGGTGCTTACTATATTGTGGCAGCCAGCAAGTGGCTGCTGTGTTAGTTTACACACACACACTGTGCTGGTCTTGGAGCTTGAACTCATGGCCTGGACACTGGCTGTGGGCTTTTGCACTCGTCTAGTGCTCTACCATTTGAACCAAATATCCACTTCTGGCTTTTTATGGTTAATTGGAGATAAGACTCTCAGAGACTTTCCAACCAGGCTGGCTTTGAACTGCAGTCCTCAGATCTTAACCGTCTGAGTAGCTAGGATTATAGGCATGAGCCTATAAACTATTAACTTACAGTGTATGTAGTAGCTAGGATTACAGGTGTGAGCCACCGGCACGCAGCTTTACAGTTAATATTTTAAAGCACTTTAGAAATTCAAATTTCGATACCAAATCCTTAAGGTTACAGGCTGTGGCTGATATTAAAACAACCAGGGTTAGAATCTAGGCAACTATCTTTATTTTTTGATAGTGGACAGGTTATTTTGCTCCACAAACATCAGTATTACAGTGAATGCCATAAAACATTCCAAGAAAAGGTGTTTAAAAAATACAGTGTAAAGGACTGGCTGCATGGCTCAAGTGGTAGAGCACTTGCCTGGCAAATCTGGGGGAGGCCCTAGCACTATATATATATATATATATATATATAGAGAGAGAGAGAGAGAGAGAGAGAGAGAGAGAGAGAGAGAGAGAGAGAGAACTTTATTATTGTGGATATTGACACCAATGAAGTTACCAGCTTTGTGAGTATGCCAGTACTGGGGCTTGAAATCAGGGCCTTGTTCTTTTATTTGGCTTTTTTGCTTAAGGTGAACACTTAGCCACTTAAGCCACACTTCCACTTCTGGCTTATTGTTGGTTAACTGGAGATAAGAACCTCTTAGAATCCGGGCACCGGTGGCTCACGCCTCTAATCCTAGCTACTCAGGAGGCTGAGATCTGAGGATCTCGGTTCAAAGCCAGCCTGGGCAAGGAAGTCGTAAAACTCTTATCTCCAATAAAGCACCAGAAAACCAGAAGTGGCGCTGTAGCTCAAGTGGTAGAATGCTAACTTTGAGCTGAAGAACACTGAGGGACAGTGTCCAGACCCAGAGTTCAAGCCCCATGGCCACCAAAAAAAAAAAAAAGAACCTCTCAGATTTGTCTGTCTGGGCTGGTCTTGAACTGGAATCCTCAGATCTCAATGTCTTAAGTAGGATTAGAGCCTTGAGCCATTGATGCCCAGCCTGTTACCAGCTTTTGTATTTACACAGTACTAAAAGAAAAAAAATGACCTATTTTTTTATTATTATTTTTTTTTAATTTTTGGGTCCGGTTGTGGGGCCTGAACTCTGGGCCTGGGTGCTGTCCCTCACTCAGTTCTTCAGCTCAAGGCTAGTGCTCTACCACTTGAGCCACAGCGCCACTTCTGGCTTTTTTTCTTTTTGCTAATGTGGTGCTGAGGAATGGAACCCAGGGCCTCAAGCATGCAAGGCAAGTGCTCTACCACTGAGCCACCTTCCCAACAAAAATGACCTATTTTTGTGAGTAACTCTTTCTCTTTATAAAATATAATTTATAAACTAAAATACTGGAGCAGTGTAAAAGCTGTCCCCTGCAGTTCCCTCTACTGTTCAGAAACACTGATTTAGTTATGTAAATGTAATCACCAGTCAGTCCTTCTGAAAGCTAGTTTGGTTTTCTCACCTTTCAGAATGATCAAACTCAAGATCTTAAAAGCACTGTACATTGAAGCACCATGTAGAGTTTTCTTCCTTTGTTTTAGTTTTTGAACTGGAAAGTGCCTGAGTAACTTTGTTCCCTAGTATGTTACTTTACACTGCTCTATATGTATGTATTTTACCTAGTGGATTGTTTCTGTTGATGTTGTGTTGTTTTTTTGCCCATCCTAGGGCTTGGAACTCAAGGTGTGGGTGCTGACCCTAGTTCTTTTTGCCCAAGGCTAGCGCTCTATCACTTGAGCCACAGGGCCACTTCCATCTTTTTCTGAGTCGTTTATTGGAGATAAGAATCTCACAGTCTTTCCTGCCTTTGCTGGCTTCAAACCGAGATACTTAGATCTCAGCCTCCTGAATAGGTAGGATTACAGGTGTGAGCCACTGGCACCCAGCTTTTTTCTGAGTTTTGACTGTAAGCATGTAATAGATCTGTAGAGGAGAGTCATGTGTTCAGTACTCTAAAACCTAACAATATGGGAACAAACTAAAAGACAATTCTTTTAGTAATGTCAGATGTCTGATAGATTGTAATTATTGTACTTCAGTCATGTTCAAGTTGATACTTTTTTTCTTAACTTCTTTCTATTGAGATGTAGCCCACCAATTTTTCTGCCCAGGCTGGCCTGGAACTGCAGTCTTCCTAATCTCAGTTTCTCACACATCTAGGATGATAGGTGCACACCACCTCACTCAGCTGTTGTTGATAAGGGGGTCTTGTGTGTATTCCTGGGCTGGCTTTGACTCAGTCTGGAATAAAGTCTTAGGTGGGTGGGGGACTCAAAAACATCTTATGACATCCCATGACTTTGGTGGGCTGCTTTGATTTTTACAAACATTGGTTTTATTTGAAAAGTTTAATTGTAGTGTTCCTCCATTTTAAGTTTCCATTCCCCATCACTCTGCTATCAGGTAAAAGGTGTATTGTCTTTAAAAGTAATCCCTACTGGGTCTACTCTGAAAAGATAAATGATAATTCACCAGGAAAAATAATCTATAGGATTTTGTATAGTCTGTTTTGCTTGTTGGGAGATAAGTACTGACAAGATGAATTCAACACATCTATTTTCTTTGTTTCCTTTGTTTCAGTTGCTGATTGTTGGTGGTTCCTTTGGTCTTCGTGAGTTTTCACAAATCCGATATGATGCTGTGAAGATAAAGGTAAGAACTACAACTGGGAATTTGACTGTATTTTGTTTTTGAAGTATATAATCACTGTTCTTAGTAATCCAGATTTGTCTGTGGACAGTCTTTGTATTCTCTTAATCTTTAATATGAATGTTCATATTGTTGTAGAAGGTCAGTGCAGCTGTTTCTTTCTTTTTCCCCCCTTACTCATTTCTCCTTTATCCTGGTATGCTAAAATCTTTGCTGAAGCTTCTACCTGCAAAACTCCTCATAATTTGAGACCCCTTGAAATGATTTCCATGTGTGTATCTCAAGGCCCTGTGATTTCAGGTAGAAACTGGGTAGCTGAGAAGCTCATGTCCAGCTGGTGACAGTTTCAGTTAGCAACCCAGTTTCTTCATCTTTAGCATGAAACTTACGATAATCTGGCAACTGGAAATAGAATATTAGTGCGTGTATTTGAAAAATAACTGAATATTTGTCATGTTAATTGTTTGTTAGATTCGTCAGATAAAGTGTCAAGAAACTGGTCCTATAAAATTTGTATTACAAACAACTAGAAGATATGTCACTTACATAAATGTACCCAGACATATACAATAGCAAAAAAAAAAACCCAAACAAACTAGAAAAATGCTATAGTAAAATTTTGATTAAAACATTACAAGAACCTTAAGGTGAGGCAAAAGATATCAACCCTTGAATTTGGCTGAAAGACTAAATAGGAGTTGACTATAGAAGTGACTTATGTTGTATGAGTTTGAAATTTTCATTTTCATTTCCTCCTCAATGGGCTATAAAGTGGATGGGGATTGGAGGAGCAAGATAGAAGGGAAGAAACGTCATAAAGATGTTATGGCTTCCCAATGGCCCATTAGGTGGATTATAACCACTCCGTTGATCAGGTCATAGCCTTCATCATCCAGTCACCTTCCAAAGGTCCCACCTCTGAACACTGTTGCATTGGTGACCACACCTTTAATACATGAGTTTTGACTCTGCATTAGTGGAATAGCTGAACAATAATGGGACCTGAAAGGAAGCATTTGCAGTGGCAATAAAGAGAAATAAATGTGCTTCAGAAAACTGTTTCAGTAGCAAATTGTCAGCCTTTGATGATCATTGTGATATATGTTGTATATTCGTAGATTGCTTCAGTTTTGATTTTGAGAACTGGAGAAATTGTGCTAACCACCCATTTAGGGAGGAGAGTGATAGAAAGGCTGACATATGAGGAGGCCTAGAATGTCAGAGAAATTAAGTCAGGTCAAGAGAATAAGGGTGATTTGAGTTGAGAAGTCAAGGTCAGTTGATTTCAAGGGAATAAGGGTAAAATAAGCTCAGATCTGTCTGTTGGAAGAGAGTAAGAAGCAAGGTTGAGGTGGGAAGAAAAGAACTACTGGGACGGAGAAGGTGAGCTTAGTTGATGTTGATGTTGAGAAGTCAAACTCAGATGAAGTTAAGATTGAGATCCAGCAGGGTGTTGGGGAGGAGGGGGCTGTTGATGAAAGGAACTGATGATGAGCTTGGTCTTTAGGACCATAGTATTAGTTGAGTTTGCACCACTCTTCAGCTGTTCCACTCAATTTAGCTTTCTTTCCTTCCTGAAGACTTTGTGGTACATCACAACAGTGGTGGCACCACTGTTAAACCCTGATTTTTTCATTGATATCCCTTTATTGTTTATCTATAGCATTTTGTTGTTCTTTTAAATACCAGCATTTTTTTTATAATAAGTCTATGAAACCCAATTTGTGTTGGTGGTTAATGGTGTGGCCTCTGGAGGTAGAGACCTAATATTAAAGGCCAAGGAACATCTCTGACAATTTATTCAGACCTCCTGGGCCTTATTTTTCTTATTTGTATATAACAGGGATAAAAATAATTCTTAGAGCCAGGCACCCGTGGCTTATGCCTATAATCCTAGCTACTCAGGAGGCTGCTGAGATCTGAGGATCTCAGTTTAAAGCCAGCTGAAGAGCGCAGGGACAGCGCTCAGGCCCAGAGTTCAAGTTCTACAACTAATACTTACAGACTTTTCTCTGTCACAATGCCTTGCCCACACAAGTGTTAAGAAAATACTAGTTGTCGGTTGCAGTGGTGGACGTTACACATTAGCTGCTGTTCTGTGATTAGTGACGATGAGGGGATTAAATAGTTCTCACTAGTCCAGCCAACCCTTTTAGAAACGTCAGAAACTGAAACTTGAATGTAGCAGAGTTAAATAACTTATAGTGCCTCTTTCTTTTCTACAGATTGATCCTGAACTTGAAAAAAAACTGAAAATGAATAAAATATCTCTAGAGTCAGAGTATGAGGTACAGTATGTTAATAGTGTGTGTAATATAACAGTTCTAGTCATCACAGGTCTGTCTGCCTTAAGATAAATGAAAAAAAGTGTTTTAAATACATGCTATTTGGAACACTACATATTCATTATTTCTTAACTAAAATCCTGGGAGCCATTAAGCACTTTAGATTTTTGAGTTTTTCAGGTAAACATCACCAGTAATGCATCTGAAAACCAAATTCAAAATGCTGTAGAATATAAGGATATTTGTGTGTTTTGCTGTGAATGATATTTTGTTTTTTGTTTGCTTTTGTATACTGGGGGTTGAGCCCATGGTCTCATGTATGCTGGGCAAGGATTTGACCTCTGAACTATACATGCAGACAAAATCAGAAAGTTTTTGAGCATTTCAGATGTTAGATTATGGATTTAAGGATAATCAGCCTGTATATAATTCTTTGAAGACAAAATAAAGATGGATTCATATGTCATATACTACAGATAAATCCACATGGATCAAGAATTTAAAAATAACAGTTGAGCGTTGGTGGTTTACACCTGTAGTCCTAGCTACTCAGGAGGCTGAAATCTGAGGATCATGGTTCAGAGCCAGCCTGGTCAGGGAAATTCCATGGGACTCTTTCTCCAGTTAACCAGCAAAAAGCTATATGGAGGTGTGGCTCAAGTGGTAGATCACCAGCCTTGAGGGACAGCACCCAGACCCTGAATTCAAGCCCCAGTACAGCAGACAGACACACACACACACACACACACATACTCCCTGTGTGTGTGGCAGTGTGTGTGTATGTGTGTGTGTGTGCGCGTGCTAGTTATGGGGTTTGAACTCAAATACTGGGCACTGTCCCTGAGTTTCTTTGCTCAAGGCTAGTACTCTACCACTTGAGCCACAGCACCACTCTGGCCCTTTCTGTGTATGTGGTACTGAGGAATTGAACCCAGGGCTTCATGCATGCTAGCAAGCACTCTACCACTAAGGCAACATCCTATCCTACTCATATGAGTTTTTAAAAACCCAAAATGGGGGCTGGGAAGGTGGCTCAGTGGTAGAGCGCTTGCCTTGCATGCATGAGGCTCTGGGTTCAATTCCTCAGCACCACATAAGCAGAAAAAAGCCGGAAGTGGCACTGTGACTCAAGTGGTAGAGCGCTAGCCTTGAGCTGAAGAGCTGAGGGACAGCACTCAGGCCCAGAGTTCAGGCCCCACGACCGGACCCCCCCCAAAAAACACAAAAAACCCAAAATGCTAAAAGTACTAGGAGGGGAAAAAAAATGCAGATTGTGTGTGTGTGTGTGTGTGGCATTGAGTTAAAAAGCCTGTTAAGTTGGATAGAGAACCTGGAAGCTGTAAAAGTGAAAATAAGAATAGTGGGGATTACAGGCATGTATCACCAAGGCTGGCCTAGTTCTGTTCAGTTCTTGACTGGGCCCTATTTTCTTTCTTCTTTGTACCTTCAGTCATCTTCTTTATACGTCTGGTCATTTTTAATTAAAAGATGGACATTGAAAAGATTCTAAAGAGTGTTGAATTTTACTTTACCAGGCAGTTATCAGCTAATCAGCTTAAACTGCTTTTGCTTTGTAAGGGAGGGCCTATGGAAAGGTTGTGGCATTGCCTAAGTCTATAATTTGGGACTTGTTCTCCAGATTGTTGCCCCAAAGGATCTTGTCAGAGTTTGTTTTTAGGTTTTTTTAGGGGTAGTCTAAAGTAGGTCTTATTCTTAAGCATATATTTATTTTAAAAGCAGACCTTTACCTGTGTTACTTGGCATCAAGGTATTAGCAAGATACTAGGCAGAGATCTCTACTTTGGCAGGTTCTACATCCAGTAATTCTGACTTCGCTTTCATTCAGCATTTCTTGGGTGTATACCTTCACAGTGCTATGGTTGTTGGCTGCTAAGTGGTAAGGTTTGAGCAGTCCTGCCTGGAAAATGCAGTTTAGCATTTGGCCACAGCATGTCTTGTAGAATTTCTACAGGGAATCTTTCCCTGAAAAGATCTACTAAGGATTATACTTTGTTGTCGTTGTCGTTGCCAGTTCTGAGGTTTGAACTTGGGCTGGGTGTTGTTGAACTTTTCTGCTCATGAATAATGCTTTACCACTTGAGCCACGCTCTACCTCTGGCTCTTTTGGTGGTTAATTGGAGAGCAGCGTTTCACGGACTTTACTGCCTGGACTGGCTTGGAACCCCAGTTCTCAGAACTCAGCCTCCTCAGCGTGAGTCACCAGCAGCTGCCAAGACGACGTTTTTACATAAACTTTTTCTGTCACTTTTGCCTCTCTTCTAAAAATGACTTAAATTCTCTTAAGCCTTTAATATGGATAACAGTTGTTACTTGACTCAAACTTTTTTCATACTTTTTGATTATTTCATAACCATACTTGAAAATATTTCTTCCTTGCACTGAGTTAAAATTTTGTTCCTTCATCTGTGTTTACTACGGACTCCAGGATTTTTTTGCAAGAGTGTTTTCAGTTAGTTAGGTACAGTGGCTTACAACTGTAATCCTAGCTACTTGCGAGATGGCTATTGGGAGGATATCACAATATTAAAGCCAGGCCAGAAAAAATGTTTATGAGCTACCATTTCAGAAAAAAAAAAAAAAAGCTGGATGTGGTATGTGCTTGCCATTTTACCTACATGAGAAGTCTAAATAGGAGATCTTATTCAACACTGGACTGAGCTTAAATGTGGAACTCTAATGAAAAATTATAAAAGCAAGAAGGGAGTAGGGATGTGGGTCAAATGGCAGAGTGGCTACTCTAGCAAGAATAAGACTAACTTCAAACTTCATTACATAATGCTTTAGTCATGTTCAACCACCCTTCACATTTAGACTTGTTTTCTTAGCTTCTCCTCCTTTCTTGTGCTCTCAAAAGCAAGGTTTATAGACTCTTTCCTATATTAATAGTTTGTTTAATATGGGGCAAAAGATAGGCTATTAACATTAATAGCAAGCAAGAAACATTCTAAATCCTAAGAAGGATGACATTATTTCTAGTTAGTTTGCTTAGTTTATGTTTGATTTATTTGCTAAAATTGTAATTGAGGATCATTTAGATTTTTTTCTTTTCACTTTTCATTCATTCACTGATGTTCCAATCAAAACCATAGGGCTCCTGCACTAATATGTGTACTTTAACTTTTATGATTCTATAGAAAATAAAGGACTCCACTTTTGAAGACTGGAAGAATATTCGAGGCCCTAGACCTTGGGAAGATCCTGATCTCCTCCAAGGACGAAATCTGGAAATTCTAAAGACTAAGACAACCTGACTATGATCATTAAAACAAAAAAACAACAAAACAACTTTATGCACTGGACAGACTTCTGTTCCCTGGGAAGAAAATTGTAACTGCAACTGCACCTGGACATGAGTAATTTGTTCTAGTTCCCTGGAAAGAAAATTGCAACTCCAACTGTACCTGGACATGAGTAATTTTTTCTAGTTCCCTGGAAAGAAAATTGCAACTGCAGCTGTACCTGGACATGAATAATTTGATGGCAGATAATTGTGATTAAAAAGTCAATGACAAGTCTTTGTACTTTTCAGCTGGTCCACTTGCAAATGAAGGTAGCAGTGTTGACCATGTGTACACTCCACAGTACAGCAGTGAGCACTGCTACCAGAGAGTCCCAGTTAGCCACTCAGCCCTTTCCCCAGCCACGAGGACAACATTGTGCCATTTCATTCAAAGAGAATAGTAGGCCTGTCCAAATTTTTATGGTAAAATTGAGCAATATATTTATATTAAACCTACATAAGAAAATAATAATGATTACAAATTTGGTTTTATTTATGATACCTGATATACTGTACAACACCTGATAATTGTCTTGATATTACCAAATGTGTAAAAGAAATTATAAATTCCAGTTTAGTCAGAAGTAATGAAGAAATTATTTGTAATTACATGATTGTAAGCAGATATGGAAAATTTGTTGATGTAAGCCAGACATGACTGATTTGGGAAGTACTGATTTAAGGTAAGCTTTACGCTTTAGCAAAATTTGCATGTAAATCGATCAGACCTTTTCTATTAATTTTAGGTTTGGTATGATCTGATAAGTAAGCAAAAGCCTGGGAGAGTTAATTTTCCAAGTCCTCTTCTTTTTACTCCTGCCTCCAGCAGCCTATGATTCTCTGCCTTGTGGTGTTTTCATGTTGAATCTTAAGCACGCCCAGTGTTATTGCCAGAAAAAAATCATAAATGTGTCCCACTTTTTCTTCAATCAAAAATTTATATTTACCAGATTAGTTTTAGTACAGTGCAGGGTAAGATGATAATTTGTCAATTACAATTTGTGATAGAATAATCCAAAAGTACACCATTGATTTAAAGGTAAAACATCAAACTAAAACCTTTAGGAAAAAATCAGAAAAAAAGCAATTCATCTAGTGAATAGTTTGTGACAAATAATTCTTTTTTTTTTTGGTCTGGTTGTGGGGCCTGAACTCTGGGCCTGGGCACTGTCCCTCAGCTCTTCAGCTCAAGGGTGGCGCTCTACCGCTTGAGCCACAGCGCCACTTCCGGCTTTTTTCTTTATGTGGTGCCGAGGGATCGAACCCAGGGCCTCAGGCATGCAAGGCAAGTGCTCTACCACTGGCCACCTTCCCAGCCCCAATATATATATATATATATATATATATTTTTGATCTTTTCTTTTTTTGGTACTGGGGATCGAACCCAGGATGTTGCACTTGCTAGGTAAGTGCTTTGCCACTGAGCTACATCCCAGCCCCTTGTGACAAATAATTCTTACCTAAACTATCCATTAAAAAAAAAAAAAGACCAGGCTAGGCATGGTGGCTCATAGTTGTAATCCAAGTTCCTTTAAAGACAAGAGATAGGATTGTAGTTCAAGGCTAGCACAGCCTCTCTCTCCCTGCCCAAAAGATAAAAAGTTAGCAAGACTTTATCTCAAAGAAGAAGCTGGATATGGTGGTGCACGGCAGTAGTTCCAACTATGCTCAAGGCTGAAAGTAGAATCATGGTCCAAGGTTGGCTTGAGCAAAGCAAGAGGCCCTATCTGAAAAAAGCTAAAAATGGCTGGAAGCATGGCTCTGGTGAGACAGTGCTTAGCAAAGCATGAGGCCCTCAGTTCAAAACCACAGTAAAGTCAGAAGAGAAAGAAAAACTTTACAAATTAACCTAATCAAAAATCTTGACCTTTTTCTCCCCTCCTCACACACACACAAAAACAAAAAGCTGAAAAGAGAAGATCAGTTCTTTGTTCCATCAGAGACTTGAAGTCACAGGACAAATCAGCCTTTAAATTGGAGACAGTGTCACTGTTTATCTGGTACCACCAGAGATGCCATTAGGCAGAAATACTCATAATGTAGTTGACTAGTTGTTGGAAATCAAGCATGGACTACAACGAAAACTTGGAGGCAAACTTTTTTTTTTTGGGTCCGGTCGTGGGGCCTGAACTCTGGGCCTGGATGCTGTCCCTCAGCTCTTCAGCTCAAGGCTAGCACTCTACCATTTGAGCCACAGTGCCACTTCCGGCTTTTTTTCTTTTTTGCTTATGTGGTGCTGAGGAATCGAACCCAGGGCTTCATGCATGCAAGGCAAGCGCTCTACCACTGAGCCATCTTCCCAGCCCAATGGGGGCAAACTTTATGGGGGAAATAATACAAGTATTTTTTCTTCTGAGTTTTACTTCCAAGTTCCCATGAGGTCATAGTAAATATTAGCAAAAAAAAAAAAAAAACCCAAAAACCCAAAACGTCCACAACAACAATAAAAGTCCCGCAAATTCAGTGTGCTTTCAGAAAGGCTATGAGAAAAAAGTAACCATTTTGGATACACTTCAGTTGGATTTTCTCAGAATTTAACAAGCTGGCAGAAAGGAAATAGCTACAGCCCACATTGGCCTTCCTGCTTCACATAAGAAAGGATGAGAGATGGGAGAAAGTCATAATCCAGGAGCTTAGTTTCACAAAAGACCTGCCGTGGAATAAATGTTTCTTACCTTCGTTACTGCTGCATCATTGAAAGTCTATTAACTGGACTTCCTTTTGCCTAGTATATCATCTCAAGCATGCAACAAACAAGAAAGACAAAAACAATAATACTGTTTGAAAAGAAAAAAGCATCAGAATCATATTGAAATATAGCAAGGCTGTTGGAATTATCTGCCTGAGTGTTGAAACTAGATATGATTACTATGCAAAAAACTAATGAGTAGACATGACCAAGAAAAGAAAAAGGAGTAGGAGGGAGAGAGACAGAAATAGATATTCCATCCTGATATTAATCAAAGTTGGAATGGCTTTTTAATTTCAGAAAAAGCAGAGCAAGAAAAATGGTATGGATGGAGAAGGGCATTGTATAATTATAAAGGTGCCTACTCCAGTAGGAGATAAATAATCCTTAGGATAGATATGCCTAATAATGAAGGAAAAAAATGAAAGAATTATGAGAAGAAATAGATGAAACAGGAATAGACTGTTATATTTGGAAACTTAAATGATCCTCTACTAGTAATTGACAAATCTACCAGACAGAATCATTAAGGATTGAAGTGCACTGCCCATCAACTGGAATCTGGAATATTTCATCCCCAGTGCAGAAGATTACACATTCTTTTCAAGCTCTTAATGAATAATCCATCAAGGTAGGCAGCTCCCTCCTTCCCCCAAGAAAAAGCCCTAACATTTGAAAAAGAGCATCACCTCAGGTTACTTTGAAACTAATTTAGAAACTAATAACAGACAATCCCAATATACTTGTATATTAAATAACACTTCTAAGTAACAGAGGCCAAAGAAGTCTAAAGAAATAATTTTGCACAAAAGGTGGCTGAAAATACAGTTTATCAAAGTGATGCAGTAAAATTCTTTAAGAGAATTTTATATAAAACATATACTAGAAGAAAAATCTAAAATTGTCAATCTAAGAGTATTGGGAAAAGAGCAAGATAAATCCCAAGAAATGGGGGAAAAAAACCTAATAAGCATCAGAACAAGTAAAGACAGGAAATCATTAGAAAAACTCAAGTAAACCAAAACACATTGGAAGATATTAATAAAGTCTCTAACCCAGGCTAAGAAAAAAAAGACTAATTACTAATATCCCATAAAAGTCAGAACATCACTACTCACCCCACAAACATCAAAAAGGTAGAATATTATGTACAGTACTGTTTACATAAATTTGATGATCTACACCAAGTGGAAAATTTCTGAAAAGACAATATCAAAACTTATACGGGGGGGAAGGTGGCTCAGTGGTAGAGCGCTTGCCTTGCATGCTTGAGGCCCTGGGTTCAATTCCTCAGCACCACATAAGCAAAAAGAAAAAAGCCAGAAGTGGCGCTGTGGCTCAAGTGGTAGAGCACTAGCCTTGAGCTGAAGAGCTGAGGGACAGCGCCCAGCCCCCCAACCGGACCCCCCCCCCCAAAAAAAAAAAACTTATACAAGGGCCAGAATATAGCTCAGTGGCAAAGAGCTTGCCTAGCAAGTGCAACGTCCTGGGTTTGACCAAAAAAGAAAGAACAAAAACATTTATAAGAGGGCCAGGTGCTGGTAGCTCATGCATATAATCCTAGCTACTCAGGAGGCTGAGATCTGAGGATCATGGTTCCAAACCAGTCTTTGAGACTCTTATCTTCAATTTACCACCTAAAAAACAGAAGAGGAGCTGTGGCTCAAAGTGGTGGTAGAACACTACCCTTGAGCAAAAATGCTCAGCGACAGCACTCGGGTCTTGAGTTCAAGCTGCACGGACTGACCAAACAACAACAAAACGCTAACCCCAAGTTGTACATAAGAGGGACTAAATCATAGATGGTGTCCTAGTTTATATTTCCACCAACTATATGGGGAGGAGGTTCCTTTTGCTCAGCATTCTCACCAACATTTACTGTTTGTTTTCTTGATGATTGCTATTATGACTGAGGTAACATGGCATTATCAGTCTTGTTTTTGTTTGCATTTCCTTTATGGCTAAGGATGTTGAACTCTCTCTCTCTTTCACATATACTTCTGAGAACTGTCTAGCCAATTTATATGCCAGTATTAGTTGATTATTTGGATTTTGTGTTTAATATTCTGGATATATATCATTTCTTACCTGAAGAGTTAGCAGTTCTAGGTGTTTCTTCTTTCTTTCTTTTTCTTTTTCTTTTTTGTCAGTTGTGGGGCTTGAACTCTGGGCCTGGGCGCTGTCCCTCAGCTCTTCAGCCCAAGGTTAGCACTCTACCACTTGAGCCACAGCACCACTTTTGGTTTTCTGGTGGTTTATTGGAGATAAGAGTCTCACAGACTTTCCTGCCCAGGGTTGGCTTTAAACAGCAATCCTCAAATCTTAACCTCTTGAGTAGCTAGTATTACAGGCATGAGCCACCAGTGCCCGGTAGGTTTCTTGATTCTTCATTCTGTTTCTTTCTGAATCAGCATCCAATTCCTTAGGAAATAAAATTGAGAGCTTAGAAATGGGATTGCATCAAATTAAAAAGCTTTTGCATATCAAAGATAAATTTGTTGGGGTTTTCTCCTGCAGCTCCCTTTGTCTTGCCTCTAGCAATATGATTCCAGTTCCCAGGACTCATGAGTTAGCTCCTGGGAAATCACTTCTAGGTGTTCTTAAAAATGTCATCCCAGTCCACACTCAACCAGTGTATCACCTCAACCACAGCCTTATTGATTTTTGCAACCAACTCAACTTTGGAAAATCCATTGAATTCTTCCAGGTACCTTTTATAAACTCCTTGGTAATGTACAGCAAGTCCAAGCAAGGTTCTTGATGCAATCATAAGCCTAATC